CACTCGACTACCTGATAAGCATATGCTTATCAAGTAATCATCGACTCAACTAGCAGCATACATCCCTGGTCTCTTCTGCATGTTCTTTGCCCAGGTATGTTTTTGTGTGTGTGAGACTATTAATATTTGTTTGGAAGGTTGGAAGATCCAAAATGTGTGTACCCTAATATCATTTTCTGAGCCTCAAGAGGAGAAACAGACACTCGACTACCTGATAAGCATATGCTTATCAAGTAATCATCGACTCAACTAGCAGCATACATCCCTGGTCTCTTCTGCATGTTCTTTGCCCAGGTATGTTTTTGTGTGTGTGAGACTATTAATATTTGTTTGGAAGGTTGGAAGATCCAAAATGTGTGTACCCTAATATCATTTTCTGAGCCTCAAGAGGAGAAACAGAAGTTTCCATGTTGGTACTATCCTTTTGTGTTCAGCAAGGTTGAATGATGCTTTCAGTGGTGAAGCAGTTCCTCCAAATGGACTATTTATATGGGTTACCTTTTGTGAAGAGATTGTTGTTCCTCTGTAAAGTCAGCACTAGGAGACCACTTGTTAATCTCTTTCCACAAAGAGATTAGCATGCTGAGAATAAGACACAGATCAGAAGTCAGGAGAGACCACTCATTCTTGGTCCAGCATTTATTTCTAAGGATGATGGAATGTAAAAAGAATCAGATTATTGGCTTGGAAGTAAAAATTAATCTTAAATTATGGATACTCTTTATTTTTATTATATCAGAAAAATACGGTGAGGACTGTGGAGGCAGGAAAAAGAGAATAAGGGAATTTGTGTGCAGCCATCTTAGTCTTGTCAGTAGCAGAGCAAGAGTCAGGCTAAGTCTGTGGCCTGACAACGCGAGAGGTGTAATAAGACGCTGCCTTCGTCTCTCGCCTCCATACGGAGATAAGGATAGAATGCTGACTCTGGCAGGGACCTTGAGATAAGGAGCATCTGGGTGGAACTAAAATAACTGTTAGCCATTGGTGTTTGTAATGGGAAGGAGACTGTTTGTTGTTGTTATATCTAATGGACAGTATATAAACTGCTTCATAATTGCGTGTATTTGAAGATCTGCCTGGCGGGGGCTCCCCCCTGTCCAAATCAGTTTTTCCCTTGCTGCAGCTTGGAATAAAACTGCCTCTGGCTACTTGTTGCTTACAAATGCAGAGTGAGGACAATGTTTTCTTCCACAATTCGGTGCCGTGACTCGGCTGGCAAGGTCCGATTGAAGACAGCGACAGCGGCTTCAGACCGTCCCCCTTCACGCCCAGGGCACCAAACGAGATGTAAGAGACCTTTTGAAATCTCTACTAGGGTGTGGAGGAGGACTGCCCGTGGAGTCGTCTGTTTCTTGTGGGCTCACCCCATCCGAACTTCTTGAGTCTGCAACAAGGTCAGATGCAAAGCGGTTCTGGGGAGTTTGTTTTGCCACCCCCAAGTAGAGTTAGTTGTTGTGGTTATTGGTGGTGCCGCCCCGAGTACGGGAAGAAGGTTGTAGTGCGTTCAGACATGAGGCACTTAGGTTTATGCAGTCCTGGGGAACTGCTGTGGTTCTGGGGGGAAACATGTTGTTTGCCGCCCCTGGGGGGAACAGTGTTGGTTGTCGCCCCAAATATGGACGAGGTCCATAAAGAGAGATGCATCTCAATGTGGAAAATGTAGAAAACTGGGGGGGGGGGGGGGAAAAAAAAAACCCCATAAAACCCCATGATGAGTATGAATGTAATGAGTGGAGTGTGAATGCCGCTGCCCAGGTCTCTGAGAAGTAAGCTGATTCCAGCCGCACCAGGGCTCTCCCACGAGGGAGTTCTGAAAGCAAGGGGGGTCAGCCGAACCTCGAGACCCAGCGGATATGTGAGGGAGTGCCGACTCCCCTTATTTCATGAGCTGCTGATAAGATTTGACACTCAAGACCCGGCAGACCCCTTCTTTGGAGTGTGTACAGTTAGTTTCCTATAAGCTGCTGAACGAACAGGGAGTGCACACTACACTATACTCCCCTGGGTGGTGACCCAGATGGGGGGAGGTCAGTCTAAGCATACTGCCGCAAGGCACCCCTGCGTACTACATGTATGTGCACAATGGTCCAACGACCTGTACGCATTTGACAGATTGGCAGAGAAGGATTTGATCAAGTAAGGAACTAAAAAGGAAAGTGGAAAATACCAAGAAAGTAATAATAACATTGTTAAAAAACCCTCGCATTAAAAGAGAAAGAAATTAAAGCCCTGAGGGATGAGATTGAAGCTCAGAAAAGCAAAAATTCTCCCTACAGTGAGAAATGTAACTTACAAGCAGCAGCGCCTCTGTGCCAAAAGAATGCACTAGGAGTGAGAGGAAAGGATTTCTCAGTGTGCCTGTACCAACTGCGCTGCCTCTCCCAAGCTTAGGGGGGAATTTGGCACAACATTACCCCCTCTGCTCCTCTCTATGCCCAGCCCCATACGGGCTATACATCATTATAGATAGAAAGGAGGCATGAAAGATAACTGAAAGGGATCAGCTCTTCCCTCTGGAAAAACGGGCTCTAGTAACAAATCTGCCCAATCCATAGCAAAACACAGAGTTTTGGAATAGACTTAACAGCTTGTGGAAAGCGTTCCTCCAAATCCTGAAGGAAGGAATGCCTGCCGACCAGCAAGCCACATTGGCCTAGGCATTTTGGTTGGAAACACACACAGAGAAGCACGCAGGAGCAGGAAAGGGCTGCCAAGCAACTTCAGGAGATTCTCAAGCCCCTGTTAGCAAATAGATAACTACAGCCTCTCCAGCTGGAATCGCAGGCAACCCAAGGATGTTTCACAACGCACGAGTGGGGGCTGTCCAGAAAAAAATGTTAATAGTGGGGGCTGACCAGGAAAAATATTAATAAACAGTTAAAACCTTCCCTTCACATGCCATTATAACTGGCTCTCGGGCATGGGAGGAGGTGAATTAAAAGCCACCCTAAGTCAACCGGTAGAAATTGAATTTGAAGATGTAATCGCTAGAAGCTAAATCTGCCGCACCTTTAACTTAATAATTGAACATTGAAGTAATCCACTCAATCCCTCTGAAGCTGGTGTGCAAAATAAAAGCATACTATTGGGTAACAGCAGGCTGTTCAAAAAAATTAGCAAGGAACATCTATAAAAGAAAAGTATTCTAAAGTATAATGTGCCACCCCGACGAGGGTAGAAGTGTTTTCTTTGTCTTTCAGAAGATTAGAAAGCGCTCGTGCCACCTGAAGAAAAGAAAAACAATGGTTCTCTGTCATGACATAATGTTATTTGTGATTTGTTTGTTGTTTTGTGTTTTAATTAATAGGTATTGCAGATGTTGTGTGTATAATATTATTTTTTTAATGCAAGGATAATTTGAGTAAAGCAGAAGAAAAAGTTTAAACAAAATTAATAATTGGGCCCACAGAACTACAGGCAGTCCCCGGGTTACATACAAGATAGGGACTGTAGGTTTGTTCTTAAGTTGAATTTGTATGTAAGTCGGAACTGGTACATATTGTAGGGGAAACTGTAGCCAAACATTTCTCCAGAGCTCAGTTTTATTCTCCCACACCTCACTTCCCTCAGTCCTTTATTCTCAAGCTGAGGTGTCTGCTGAGAAAAGCCGCTCCGCGTCTCCCTGGTCTGCTGGGGGGAGCTCTAGCTTCGCATCTCCTTGGTCTGCTGGGGGGAAGCAGCTAGTGCGGGGTTTTCTCACCCCGTTTGTAAGTAGGGATCCGATGTAAGTTGGATCCATGTAACCCGGGGACTGCCTGTATCAGAGTTTGCAAACATTCCATTTTATATGTAACTTCACTATTCAAGAAACTGAAAGGACAGGTTTAACGACTATTACAGGATTTTTTTTATAATCTATTTTATTAGACCAAATGGGAAACAGTTATTCCCTTAAATAAGCTTAGCTAAAACTAATGTTGTTTGGCTGTCTGTGAAGATTTCGTACTGTTAAATTTAACCTTAAAAATGTTCATGTTTGCCATTACCTCTCTTGTAACAGCAATCATGTGAGTTACTGAGGAGGATAAAAATCAGCTGCAGTGCTCCTTGTTCATAACTTCATTCTGCTATAGGGAAGGTGATGTGTGTCTCAACCTCAGCTGATTTGCACACAGCTAGATGATCTGCCAGCCTTGTTTGGCATGAGCTTTTAGATCTTTGTATAAAACAAATGAAAGCTAGCAGAATCTCTGCCATACTCGGTACTATTTGAAGGAATGTGCTTCCTAAAGTACTTTGCAATTTAACACTACTGCAGTTTGCTAACATCCTACAGGTTGAACCTCCCCAATCCAGGACTCTCTGGTCTGGCAACATTTGTGGTCTGGCAGGGCCACAGATGTTACTTGACCAAAGAGTCCCGAAGGTAGTAGCAGGAGCCAGCTGAGAGAATGCAGGGCGAGGGAGTGTCTGGACCAGGAAGTGGCCAGGGGAGCTCCCTCCCCAGCCCAGGAACCCCTGATGTCAGCTGAGCCAGGCAGCCAAGGAGTCCCGGCCCTAGCTGGGAATCCCAGCTGCAGCGGGGCTTCTGGTGTCAGGCGGCCTGGCCAGATACTCCCCCCTTCCCCCCCCCCCATCTGTGGCAGCAGGGCCTGTGGTGGCCAGGCAGCCCCAGCTTAGAACCCAGGATACCCATGATGGCGGCGGGGCTGGATTGACCGGCCCTAGACACGAAACCTGGGGCTGGAAGAGGCCGGCAGCCCCGCTGGGGAACCTCAAGGAGTTCCCAACGGCAACAAGGCTGGTCCTAGTAGTGTCACGGTGTGGCTGGGAGATCCTGGCTGTGGAATCCCTGGCGGCAGCTGGATGGCCCCAGCC